CACCCCGGTCCAAATGGAAGCCAAAACACTCCCCGTCCTGTATCCCCAGCAGCCGCAACAAGGCTGTGGCGGGTCGCAGCATCCACACGCCATTTTGTGTCCAAATTACTATCCTTCACTGCTCCTTTGACTGACGTCGCTTGCTCAGCAATTGTCGTTGGCGCTGCTGTTGACGTTGCTGCTGCTGTTGCGGTTGCTGATGTAGTTGGTTTGCTATAGCCTGCGCACAATTTTTCTCTGGATATTTTGATCACGATTACTTGATCACAAGTTATAATCGCCTGTGCTGAACAATTCTTTCCTTCTCTAAAAATGCAATTTAGCTGACGCAAGTTCACCAAAAATATGAATAGCGCAACAAATCCCCTAGGAACATCCATTTCAACTCGCATTTACTGCAGAGCAATTTGGTTTAAAAGCCCTATAAAACATTTAAAATTTCTGTTGAGGGCATATCCCACTGCGGTGATGTCGCACGCATGAGCTAGTTTAGTTCTACGGCGGCTGAAGAATGCGAAATAGTCTGGTTTAACATACGGTTGGTATGTTTATAAACTACGTGAAAAATGCCAGGTCTGAATGCATTTAAAATGTATTTTAAAGTGATTAAGTGTCTAAAATATACCATTGAAATTATCTTAGTGCTGCTTTCGATCCCCCCCCCCCCCCCCCAACTATTGGTCTCATTATAAACGATAAATGCCGCTTGCTGACACAATCCTCGGATTTCAGAGCACAAACGGCTCCAGCCACGAATTAAAATAAATAGCTACGAGCAACACGGCGTTCGAACACACAAACAGTTTGGATTTACTGTTTATGGGTCCTATCGCTGTGGTGGTCGGCCCCGTGAAACTTAATTCTTGAAGAATCGTATACCCTTACAAATGTGTCGTCAGAAGAGAACATTGTCAGCACTTAGTTTTTTTTAAGGACAATGGCAAGAACCCATAAAACCCTTGAGTTTACAGAGGGTCAGTAAACAGCAGACTCTCGATTCTTGGCCTGGACCAAGACGTACTCCTAAAATACCACCTACGGGAACCAGGTGAGCTGTCCCTACGCCATTATGGCTATGTTAAATCATGTGTTCAAGGTTTGAAAAGAAAGTCGCCAAAGACACAGAAATGTAAAGAAGATATATTCTGCGCACACGTATTCACCAAACAGCAATCACCAAGCATGATGAAGTTGAGAAGGCCCTTTCTCCACTACGTCCCTTACAGGAGGTAGTTCTTTGGAATATATCACCGACCAGCTCCGGTCTAACAATTACAGCCCCATTAACATAATGGCTGGAGTCGCCATCATTGGCCCCATTCAGAATAGGGGACTATCTAGGCCGAGGGTCAAATATGGCGACCAACTACAAAGCTTGTTGTCTAATCTGCTAATAGGCACTGAATAGATATCCCGTGGGGAAGTATTCAAATGGGTCGGCCATATTTGACCACCGGACTAGTTAGTCTCCTACTGTGAATGAGGCCATTGCGTCAAATCTATTTATCCGGCATTCTTGGCGCAACTAGTGCATTTCATATGATTTACACGTTGTAGGCCTACTCTGGGCCTGTAAGTACATGTATAGTCGCCTTGTATGGAACATAAATAATCTAGAAATTAAAAAAATGTTGATCAATACATGTAATTTTGAGAGAGAGAGAGAGAGAGAGAGAGAGAGAGAGACCTTGCAGAAAGTCACCACCCCGCTCCAGGCAAACAATAACATCTCCATTTGCATAATGGCTGAAGCCGCCATCTTCCCTGCAACACCTCCAAGCGATTAAACACTACAGTCTTCAACCAAAAGCAGACACCTCAAAACACTGAGTTTATTTATTTATTTAGTCATTTTTGTAAATTTCAAAAAATTGTAAACATTTTCATCTATTGTTATAAAATTACCAAAACGTCATGTTTAACCGAATCGGAACATTGCTTGGGCTACATAAAAACCAATAAGAACGCGTTTTATATATCATTGTTTGGTCAATGAATCGCCTCACTGCGAATTTCAAGCTTTCAGCATCAAAACTTTTGCTTGATCCAAATAAAATTGCCAACGTTCGTAACATACTTCTGAGTAATGACCAAATAATATGCCAATATCGTTGCGTCAAATATATTTATTTAGCATTCTTGGCACAACTACTGCGTTTAATATGTGTATTTCCGCCTAAAAGTCAAAAAGACAGGCGCACTAAACGTATTCTTACTCAGGAAATTTACAGATTATGATAACATATGCTATTTAGGAGTAGTTGAAATTTAATTACATTTCCTCACAAAACGTCTTCCTTACGAGTGAAACATTAATTGTCTCTTTCAAATAGTTATACATAACAACAAAATGTCATGCACTTAAGTGAGGTTGACATATTCTTTTTTAATTATTTTTTTGCGATCGTTGTATTGGTAGTTCCTTACCTTATCTAGATAGAAACAAGAAGCCATGTTGCATGAACATTTAAAATAAACAAGAATTTATCATCAGTTATTATCACTGTCGTACAAGAATTTTATTTTTAAACTTGGTGTTAATTATCATTACCTCATTATTGTATTTTGTATGTCTGTATGTCTGGTGTACTATTATATGGACACCGGGTTTAGATGAAAAACCCCTAAATGTTTACAACCATATGACGACACGGAAAACATTACATTTATTCATTGCGTATAAATGTATGCTTAATTACGATACAAACCACGGTTGCAAAGTAATGTAATTCTGTAAAATAACACATAATGTATGTTCCCCGCACGCTGATTTTTGGAAGACGAGCCAGCTAAGCTTGAATAATAATAATAATAATAATAATAATAATAATAATGAAATAAGGAATGAAAATTCAATGTTGGCTGTATAAATCACAAATTCTAAGCGTACTTTGACTGCAGAGACCTATTTCACAAGGAAATAAATAAATACATAATGACAGAATTGGTGTTAACCTCAGTTGATATCCTTGCACACATTTCGACAACTTTATTTGTATATCCCTGTTTTGTTTTTCGCAAAAAAAATCGACTACAGGTGAACAACAAACAACTAATTTTAAAACATGAGTTATTGTAAGATAAACGTGTTATCCGTTTAGCGATGAGAAAAAGTGTTATATATTTATACCGAGGTTTATAAATGCCTCTGCAGTTTAGCACCTTGTCGCTGTGGGGATCTATCGGTATAGTGATTAATTGGAACGGGGTTCTGTCTCATTGCTGATTTATTCCAATGCCTCCCTGTCCCCCATTTTCGTATACAGTATATTCCTGTCGAAGGCGAAGTCTTTCATGTCGATTCTCTTCAAGAAGGCCTTTATGTTCACAATTTGAGATATAACATTTAAACTGCTTTCATCGTGTTTTCTATTCTTTCTCCCCTAATACCCAAAATGGAATTTGGATAAAAAACATCTACAAGTACACGTATAATTGAATTTAAATTAAAAGATCAAACAAACCACAAGCACTAATTTCAAGATAAATATTTAAGATGAATGCCACATTAACATTTGTTGAGAAAACGTGTACAGGGGGTAAAATAAATACATTGCACCATCTGTGTGGATAGCGTTCTATGTGACATGGGGGATCCGTTTAAAAAGGTTTCCTTGTTTATTGCTCAGGTAATCAGCGATGAGTGTCCATTTATGTGCACAAAAAATGGTTTCAGCGAAAATCTAACGCCCTTCTAGACAGTCCACTTCGAAATTTTTGTGGGTGAATTGGTCTCAATTAAATACCAATTGAATTTCGTTCTTTGAACGCAGATGAAGTTCCCGAAGAAGCGAAGAATCAAAACGACGCAGAGGTCATGTTACACCGTAGTGATAGCGACATGTTTTCAATTGACCATATGCATGGTAGTGGACACTTCAGCTTTGGAGACAAACGATAATGTTGGTTTTGACCAGATTTTAGATGACAAACGAAGCCGTTGTTCAACTTTAAGCAAAATGGTGCGATAATTCTGTCACCCCTCTGTAACTGAATTTTGAATTTTAAATGAGAATTAGTTTTGTTTTTATGTAGCAAATGTAAAATCAGGCAAAACCCTGGATATGATGCAAATAGTGCTAAAAATAACCACAACAAGGAAATACTTAGCATAATTACGTTTGAAGTTAATTTGTTATTCAGAATTATTTCAATAGATAACCAATAAAGACTGGTAAACACCCTCTCCCAAAATTCTATAAAATCATGGTGAGTGTATGTATTGGAACATTTCCTGTACCTCCAGTTCCCCGTGCAGAAAGACCAAACAGGTAAGAGAAGTAATCATTAGTGTTCATATGGCTAGTCCTTCACCGTGTGGGATCTTCTAGACCCCAGATATATTCTATTGCAACAGATTGTCCCCAACGAGAATAACCTTCTTTATTATTATTATTATTATTATTATTATTATTGATGACACGTGGATACATTGTATCTCACTTAATTTTAAGACGCTTAAACTTTTTTAAAGTGGAGGGGCGACTTTGCCTAAGGTCTTTTTGCATCAAGGGCTATATTTACATGTCGTTCCAGCTTCATTTACAATGACAAACGTTACAAGAGCCTTTGTCCTGCTTACCATGGTATTGACATGCACGGCCTATGAGATGTACGCCGTCAACGGAGGCCCTTGGGGAAGTTGGACCAAATCACAAAGATGCCCTGGGCTGAAAGTGAAAGGATTTCAATTGAGGGTGGAGGCCTCCGTAGGGCGAGGTGAGGGATAAATGTATGAATAATTTATTTATATAGATTTAATTGTGTATAATATAATCGAAGGAATATGCTGATTTCTTTTAATTTTTTATGACCATAGAAAGAGAATAATTCGGTTTTTAAAGTTAAAGACAAACCAAGTGCGTTAGACCTTTAGATAGCAAACAGAATTTCCTGGATACTCTTACAATTTTCCAACAAATACCAACGTGTTCCCAACCAAAACCGTTAAGAAAATAAAGACCCATAAGGCCGTTGAGTTGTATACCATACAATTGGACGTAACTTTCCAAAACTTCATTCTGTAGTGTGACTTCCAGTGGAATGCCTAGTTTAATACACATGTTCTAGTATGAAAATTCCCTATGACAATGTACAAAATTTTAGTTTCATATTCTAGGCGATGATACAGCTCTTAATGCGATTGCTCTTCTCTGCGAGCATCATGCAACCATAATTCCACACTCTGGAATCTGGGGATCGTGGGGGATGGCAAAGTATTGTCCCATCGGAAGGTAAGTGTAGTCGGCTGATTTGTGTTAACGGTAGTCATACTCACCTACAGTACCTACCTACCTACATGAACCTACCTACCTACGTACCTACCTACAGGCATACATACGTACATACATTCATACATACATATGTACATACATACATACATACCTGGACAAGCATACTGGCTTGCTGAGAGGCGAGCGGTACAGCAAAAATAAGCAAGTGAAGGACTTAAAGTATATGATAAGATCTGGGATTCGAATGCTGTTACAACAACGTGCCCTTGGTGTCTAGAACTACGTATCAACATCCCCGTTCTTCTCTAGGCACAGTGGGTGGAATTTCATTTTTACGTAGACCATGAAAATAGTCCTTAAAAGACTTATATTGGGACTGTTACTCGAACGTTTAACTTCCCGAAAGAAACGTTCGTTTCTTTTCAAAGCATTATCCGTAGCCCGTATCTTATAGGACCGTCTTGCAGATCTTATCGCAAAGTCTCGAATTTCGATGGCTATAGGCTATTTAAAATTACCCGAAAAAATTAAAACTATTTTTAAGGTGCATATACTGCATTGGATCCGTATTAGATATGTTCACTGCTTAGCATGTAACAGAACACAGGTAGATGTGAGCAGAATAAAATTATATTTCCACCTGTTCAAACTAGGAGTTTGTATTGTTATATACCGAATGAGTTGATGTTTCCAAAATCGCTATATGCATATCTATAGGATGCATATTTCTGGATTGCCCACGAGTGCTTTTAGGGCTCATTCCCAATGAAACTTTCGTTCTACGTAGATCTATCCTCCATTGCAAGGACACTCGCTGAATGCAATCAGTTATAACACGTCTCCTCTTGTTTCCAACGTACTCTCGTATAATCGCCATTTTTTTCTTTATTCTACTAAACGCCGGAAGAACAATAAATTACCATTTATTAATGGGAAAAACTTGTTACTGGCCTTTTTATGCCATGATTTAGTTTTGTTTTTGGAACGTGCTCATGCCTTCAGTATTGTTTGAAATGCTCGGAAGAATACTGTGGCTCTCACTTGCGAAGGTGCAGACCTCAGGAATTATATTTTTTCTCTTATAGATGACGAAAGAGGAGAAAATTTTATTCTTTTCCGACTTGGAATCTCCGAAAGACCTGCATATTACGATTTTCCCTTTTCTTTGATCAGCAATGTTTGATTTGAATTTTTGATTTGACCCGACTGAGCCGAAACTAGTAGGGTAATTTCTGACAATACATACCGAAATTCTGGCTCGGTTTTATTTATAATACTGCAATGCTTTCTTAATAATCAGAACACTTATTGCATTAAACGAAACAAATAGTGTATCTAGTAATTTAAATGTCAGCAATTGGGCTCGTTTTTTATTTGTTTATTATCAGGCATAATATTATACATATCTTAAACAAATCTTATAAACAATAAGCACTGAGCTCGTATGTTAAGTACACGTTAAAAATTTTAAAAACACCGCATGGAATGTGGAAAATCTCAGTATTAAAACATATTGGAAATACTTTAACAACAAATAAATTTTACAAAATATCACAGAAGCATGTCAGCAAACGCTAATAATAATAATAATAATAATAATAATAAACAGGTTATGCGTTGTATAAACATATATGATATATTAGTCAACCAGTCCTTTTGATGATAATAATACTTATAATAAATGATATATTACTGCTTATCCGTGTCAACAGTATATCACTATTCTGGCTTCATTCAAAGCCCATGTATCTCAGCATTTTAGAATTTTTGTCGACTTTGTCAATTCCGCCACCATCACAAATGCCCTTATTGTGCATCTGGTGTTTATTATCGGTTCTTTATTGCTATTGCACTGTACATGCTTCTCCGGTGGCGCCACCTAGGTTTGCTGCCCTTTCCTTCAACGTGCTGCGTCCAGCAAAACCGTCTGTTTGAGTCCCATCGATTGAGAACGAGGCCCGTCTAAGACTCCCAGTAGCGCCCATGTTCAAGGGGCCGGGAGCAGTGCGGGGGCGTGCCTGTCGCATAACCGTTTCTGATTGGCTGCCCCACACTTCAATCATCAAGGTTTTATCTTGGAGATAACTCAGGAACTGAAATCAAGACCATGCTCTTTCATAAAAAATCATACAAGAAATCATACATACGCAGTGCTTATGAATTTCTTTGACTATATAACGTGAATATGTAATATAGGCCTAATATGAATTATCAAAATTATCATAAATCCACTGTAAATACCTTTTTTGTTCTTACGTTGACCAGTGATATTTTGTCCGTCCTCATCCATTTCGCAAACCAGCGATGCACTTTAAAAACCATACATGTAAATACCGCCATTCCTCGTTTTTGAAAAATACCTACCTCGTGTGTGACTTGCTGCGCTTCGTATTTATGCCGTTTCTTGTATTTTAAGTCAAACAATCCGGCAACGCATTCAGTTGGGTTTGTGGTCGTAGGTCTCTTCATTTTGAAAAACTTGTACTTGCACCAAACCTAATTGAAAGATACCATACTTCACATGTTCATTCATTATCCAGATGCAAGCACATGGCCTTTGGGATCACGTTTCAATGCTATTTTACTCCAAATTGAAGCATTACTTTCTGATGGTGTAATTATCAGCAAGACGGAAGGGGGGGGGGGGTCGAGGGTGACAAACCCCTTTGAATGAAATTGTATGAGTTTTATGGTATAAAATTGGGATATATATGGCATTTACAAGTATTAATCACGCTCCTACCAGGCAATCTTTACATACCTTGTTGTATTTGACAGGCAGGTTTTGAGCTTTCTTTATGTTTATACGGATTGCGATATCCTTCCCAATCTGAAATAGATTTACAACAAATTAGGNAAATTAAAAAAGTGTGGCCTTAAGGAAAGCTGTTTATATAATACAAAAAAGATATCACATATTAGTTATAATGTATCATATCATTGGATTATTTCAGTGAACTACCGTAAAACTTAATCTGTGAAACAAGTTATTATCCTTTATAAAATGTGATCTTGAGTGAATTATAGATATAAATATTTACGTGACAAAATTCAATTAAAATTTTCGATATACTGCATATCTGCAAAAAAAAAAAAAAAAAAAAGCGTATAAGCGCATGTGCATTCATCTACGTATGCAAGTGAATATTTGTGAGTGTGCACGCGCAGACATGTAGGTCCTTTTAATAACGAAAAGTACAGTATACTTAACTAGATCGATCCATTTTGAAAGATTTACACCTTAACAGTGACACCCCTACTTGACAAAGCCAATTAAATATCTTAACTGCAGGTAGTGAGCATGTGGAGAACATATGTGAAAGGGAGTAAAACCCCTGTATTATAACAACATTCAAGGACCTGTAAAACTGGTCCGATCCACTTAAGTGTACTGCTCGATGCGAAAAGGGCTAAAGTTTGCGTCTGAACCTACATGTCCCTAAAAAAAACAAAAACACAGGATCTCACCATTTCTTTGGGGTCAATATTTCCCTCTTTAACCTGCCCTTTTTCCTCTTCCTTCACGTCCCCAGCTTCGGCCGTTAACTCGACGGCGAGATACCCCACCGTGTTTGCTTCGTAGTTTCGGATGGTCAGCTTCTCGTCATAGGTCCGGCCATGGGCCAGAGCCACCAAAGGCACGGACACCAAACCTATCAGGTTCTCCGTGTCTGGAGGTTCGTAAAAGGGGTCGTCGTCCTTTTCAAAATAAAATGGTAATGGAATATAATGATAAGCAATGGATGAGATGGTACTCAGCATGTGTCGAGTATCAAGGAAAACGGCATCGGATATTTTTTCTTTATCGCTATAAAATCTTGAGGCAGGAGCTTTGACAAAATAACTAAGGTCGCATCTTTTGTATAAAGATACGTGTATCTAATTATCTGCTGACGGTCTGACGCTTACGAAAAAATCCTATAGAACTTCCCATAGGGCTCTATTGACCTCTATAGTAATCCTAATTGGACTCTATGGGACCCAATAGGAATTCTAGCTATCGGATATCCTGTAGGAATCCTATGTAGGGCATGAGTATGTCCTATACTGTAGAGGGTCCTATAGGAAATTTCCGTACGGGGACAAGCTCACCTTTTCCACGTTATAGGTGCCCTCAAACTCCTCGTAGATTCTCTGCATACTGCACTGTCTGTCCAGGAACTTGTTCTTCCCCCAGTAAAACTCGTTGTCGTTCTCCATATTATGCATTTTCACATAGACCTGGTGAATGAAGAGTGACATATTTAATGTTTAAAAACAAAACCAAGGAAATGCAATGCGCTACGGTGCCCTTGTCTTAATTCTCGAAAGGCACATCAATATTTAATCACATTATCGTTTACTTTCCAGTCTCTCTATAAAACGTCTTCGTTTCATTCAGCTTATCACATAACTGTTGTTTAGGACAAGAAGGCGTAGGAAACTGAGAAAGTCCCAAAATGTAAATTCAAACTATAAGAGTCAGACCATATACCAATGCCTCAGCGGCATCGATGTAACGAAACTGAGGGTCCGTGTAACAGAAAGGCCGCCCTTCATTTAATAACAATAGTTAGGGTTAGGCTGATCTAAGTCAGTCATGGGCGGGACAAACCTGCACAAATGAATGGGAAGCAGACTTTATCAAGGGGGGGGGGGGGGGCACTGTGTCACGTTACGCCGGTCCAATACTTAACGTGTAAACTAGGCATAAGTGCTACACTATATAAGACCCCGTTCCCATACCTAGACCCGTTCTCATCTCGGAGGGAAGTCTCGCTAAACTGCTTTTACCTTTAGCGTCTTTGATGTCTGGCACGCCTACTGAGGCTGTTAGGGGGTAATTAACCATCGTTAAGAAGCTCCAGTAGGCGTGTCAGACACCTAAGCCACTTAGGCTGAATGTAATTTAGCGAGAAACCCCTCAGTTGGGTCGATCCTGCTAGATCGATCTAGGTATGGGAACGGGGTCTAATTTTCATGCAAATACCTCGGTGGGTCCGGATTCCTTCCCTCTGAACATAGCAGGAATGAGGGTCACCTCAAAACCCACAGATTTGTTGAACTCTGCCGCCATGGCGTTAGCGTCCTCCACCAGGGGGAGTAAGTGAATGATCTCATCTTTTAGGAGAGCAAGGTTGTCTTCGTCGCCTGGTGAAATGGAAAATGTTTTTAACAAAGAAAGGGTGTTGGACATACTTACATGTACTAAACATTTTAATCTGCCCGCCCCCCCCCCTCCCCAACACACACACTGCCAGTTTCTCAGTCAGCGATATCATTTTCGAAAAATCACCATGAAATCCTTGACAAAACTTGCTACTAATTCAAAGACAATTCCAGTTCCTAATACATCTTCTTTTTAGAAAACATTCATGTAATGACCTTATATCCCGATTACAAAACAATGAAATAACATTATTAAAGAACTTTAAATTTGGCCTTTACCTCCCTCGCCGCTATCAATGTTGTTCTCTATTTCCTCAACGGCAAAATCGTACGAAATCTCCGTGTGTTTCTTTCCCTGGTTGATCAACTCCTCTTCCTCTTTCGGGTGGTGAAACACAAACAAGTTGGGCACCATCGTAGCCCCCATAGTGTACTCACCAAACAGAATCCTGGTAAAAAATAAGCATTAAATTCTCAGCTACATGTTTGGCCAAATTCACATGTCCCGTCATTTCAATATCCTGTTTGCAAGAGCAATTTTTAAACCGACCTCGACATTTAGTCAATCTTTTTTAATTTAATTGTAGATTGAATCATCAAAGCATTGCTTTATTGTGAAAAAAAATCAGACAAATAGGTTGATATGCAAATTGTTGTCTTATCTTTGCCATACTCCGACTTCTTTACATCTGTACATTTGAAATGTGTACCAGTTTTGATTAAAAAGCAATCATTACTTCATTGGATAAAAAGATGGTTGATGTGCAGATTTGCCTCTGAATTTTGCTCCACGTTGAATTCATCATATTCTGCACATTTGAAATACTTTGAAATACCTGTCTTGATGGTGAAGTTGTATTTCCTGTCCGGCGTTCATCTCCACCCCATTAACTCTAATTTTTCCTTTCAAAGACTTAATTGTCACACCGTTCCTGGTATTACACACGACGCCGTGTTCTCTGGCAATGCTAAAAAGAGTAATGTTAAATGTATAAATCTTTTCTTTTTACAATATTTTTATGGTATCCGTTACTTTTATAGGAAACACTGCCGTGGTGATGGAAACACATCAAAACACAGCCATCGTGAATGTTTAGGAAAAGCTGCTCCCGCTTTTTGAAACCATACTACGAATGTAACTCAAATATAGTTTTAAAAAAGTATTAAATTTTCTTACCTCCTGCCGTAGAGAGGAATTTCCGGTTGCGGTTTGGCTCCATTGTTGCCAATTCTGTGGGATCCTGGACAAATAAAAATTCAAATAAATGTTATGAAACAACACTTCTGGAGACGTAACTTTCATTTTAATTGACTCGTCTTTTCTGTAACTGCCAGCCTTCTTATATCTTTTGATTATTTTATCTTATTCTATTTATTGTTACTTTTTATTTTTGACGTTGTTGGGGGTCCACGATTTTATCATGTAAAGTTTTTTTTTCTATACATCAACGCACTTAATACATTTCTAATTTTCCACTCATCTATATATATTTATTCAGTAATTTAATTTTTCAATAGATTTTTATTTCTTCGATTTATCAAAAGCAACCAGCCTACCTGCTTTGATAATGTGAATAATTTTGGCAACCAGCAAAGGGTCCTCATTGAGATTATAGAAGTGCGGGAAGCGTTTCTTCGCATTTTCCTCTCGCTGTTCTTCTCTCAGTTTCTCCTATAATCGAGAATAAATACAAGAATTTCAAATGGATACACGTAGATGTTAAACACGGCGCCTTCGCAAGGAACGGCATAAATTTTTTCAAATTAATCATAGGAATGATGGAAAACTCAACTTTAAGAAGCACCCAAGATGCGCAAGCAATTTGACTCAAATATGCATGACCTTGTCGAGTTTCTCCAAGTCGGCTTTTTCAGCCAAGAGAAGTGACGAAAGGTTATCTTCTACTCGCAAACAAGATGGCATTTAGACGGCTACAGCCTGTGTGACAGAAATGGAAGTCCGCTAGGAATGGTAGTCCNAATCGTACGAAATCTCCGTGTGTTTCTTTCCCTGGTTGATCAACTCCTCTTCCTCTTTCGGGTGGTGAAACACAAACAAGTTGGGCACCATCGTAGCCCCCATAGTGTACTCACCAAACAGAATCCTGGTAAAAAATAAGCATTAAATTCTCAGCTACATGTTTGGCCAAATTCACATGTCCCGTCATTTCAATATCCTGTTTGCAAGAGCAATTTTTAAACCGACCTCGACATTTAGTCAATCTTTTTTAATTTAATTGTAGATTGAATCATCAAAGCATTGCTTTATTGTGAAAAAAAATCAGACAAATAGGTTGATATGCAAATTGTTGTCTTATCTTTGCCATACTCCGACTTCTTTACATCTGTACATTTGAAATGTGTACCAGTTTTGATTAAAAAGCAATCATTACTTCATTGGATAAAAAGATGGTTGATGTGCAGATTTGCCTCTGAATTTTGCTCCACGTTGAATTCATCATATTCTGCACATTTGAAATACTTTGAAATACCTGTCTTGATGGTGAAGTTGTATTTCCTGTCCGGCGTTCATCTCCACCCCATTAACTCTAATTTTTCCTTTCAAAGACTTAATTGTCACACCGTTCCTGGTATTACACACGACGCCGTGTTCTCTGGCAATGCTAAAAAGAGTAATGTTAAATGTATAAATCTTTTCTTTTTACAATATTTTTATGGTATCCGTTACTTTTATAGGAAACACTGCCGTGGTGATGGAAACACATCAAAACACAGCCATCGTGAATGTTTAGGAAAAGCTGCTCCCGCTTTTTGAAACCATACTACGAATGTAACTCAAATATAGTTTTAAAAAAGTATTAAATTTTCTTACCTCCTGCCGTAGAGAGGAATTTCCGGTTGCGGTTTGGCTCCATTGTTGCCAATTCTGTGGGATCCTGGACAAATAAAAATTCAAATAAATGTTATGAAACAACACTTCTGGAGACGTAACTTTCATTTTAATTGACTCGTCTTTTCTGTAACTGCCAGCCTTCTTATATCTTTTGATTATTTTATCTTATTCTATTTATTGTTACTTTTTATTTTTGACGTTGTTGGGGGTCCACGATTTTATCATGTAAAGTTTTTTTTTCTATACATCAACGCACTTAATACATTTCTAATTTTCCACTCATCTATATATATTTATTCAGTAATTTAATTTTTCAATAGATTTTTATTTCTTCGATTTATCAAAAGCAACCAGCCTACCTGCTTTGATAATGTGAATAATTTTGGCAACCAGCAAAGGGTCCTCATTGAGATTATAGAAGTGCGGGAAGCGTTTCTTCGCATTTTCCTCTCGCTGTTCTTCTCTCAGTTTCTCCTATAATCGAGAATAAATACAAGAATTTCAAATGGATACACGTAGATGTTAAACACGGCGCCTTCGCAAGGAACGGCATAAATTTTTTCAAATTAATCATAGGAATGATGGAAAACTCAACTTTAAGAAGCACCCAAGATGCGCAAGCAATTTGACTCAAATATGCATGACCTTGTCGAGTTTCTCCAAGTCGGCTTTTTCAGCCAAGAGAAGTGACGAAAGGTTATCTTCTACTCGCAAACAAGATGGCATTTAGACGGCTACAGCCTGTGTGACAGAAATGGAAGTCCGCTAGGAATGGTAGTCCGTTCCCCGTAACGTTGTACAGGTGATATTCTTCCCAAATACTTCCCCCAATAAATCGACTAACTCTAACTTGTACTTATCAAATGGGACCTTGCGGACTTCCATTTCTAGGACTACCATTCCAGTCCCACTGGGTCGTTTTACATACATCTGACTTCATACCAGCTTACTCAAGTCACCCACAGGGTAATTACATCTTCTAGTATGTATTATTGCGATTTCCTCTAGTCGCGTGCTTACCTCAGTCTCCTTACGGGCCTCTTCCAGCCGTTTTTCCCATGACAATGTGATGCCCGCGATTTCTTCTTTGTATCTCTCAATCTATAACATATAAGTGAACTTGAATACTGAATTAATCTGACACCACGTTCCTAAATTAAACAAATCTAGCTTGAAACATTTGGAAGAGTTTCTTAGTCTGTAACAGTGCTTTTTATTGATAGTCAAGTTTGGAATTCTACATGTATTAATTGTATGAAACAAATTATCATATAAAAGAAGGAAAAGGATGCTTACCTCAGCCTCTTGTTCTTGTTTCATCCTCTTAATATCTACAAAGAAAGAATTAAAATGAAATACTTTTTCATTTTATATCAAAATGGTGTTGACACACTTAAATATGACAATAAATCTGTGTATTATTTTAGGAATTCAGAGAATGCAAACAGTGGTTGCAATTATATTTAAATAGGTCTATTATTAATAAACGTCCCATAAAGATCGAGGCATAATTCACCGACTTGAAATTGCTCAATATTGAATGCACATAAATTAAACGTCACCTTCTTCAGTATATCCAACGGTGACATTGGCCTTGGCGTCCTTTAGTTCCGCTAGTAACTTCTCTTTCTCGGCGATAAGTTCCCGGATCAGTTTGTCGGTCTCTGACTCGTTTACTTTGGCGACGTTCTTGATAGATTTCGCTCTGTCCGCTAGAATATTATAAGATCTACATTTAAAACGTTATACCGTGCAAGTTTGCTTACTACAAGGACTTAGATATATAGAATGTTCTACTTAGATATATAGAATATTAGAATATTAAATAAAGTTAAGAGAGAGACGTGATAATTTATTTTTAAAACTAATTACTTTATTTAATTTCTTTTCATGACATGTTATTTCATTTTAACATCGATCAATTTAACTTCAGATTAGTATTTTTTCTGCTGGTATACATTATGCTTTGATTTGATATGATTTTAATTTACGTTATTCACTTTGATCGCTGAGAAAACTGTATTTTTGCCCACTAAATGAAACACGCACATCATAAGTCAGCAGACGAGAGGTAAGGAATAGGAATATCTGTTGCTTTTATTTTAAAATCAAGTTAAAAATTGCTTATAGTACTAAGTAATTTACCAGCATATCATAAACTTACCATATCGAAGCGTTGATAAAGTCTGCTCAAAATTTTCCGCGGCTGGACTCAAAGCAGCAACCTATAAAAGATTCATTTCAAAAAAGTGATTACTAAATAAGAACTCTTACGAAAAAAAAACTTAACCCCACTTTCTGCTGCACCAATTTAAAAACAACTACTTAAAAATAGTTTTAGCTTTTGCACAATTACTTTAAAAAACACTTTACAATAAGTATTCTGTGTGCCTGTGCGTACTTTTCATGCTTGTCTTTCTTTGTCTTAGTTTCACTCCTGCCCTACCCGGCCGCCTCAACTAGCTCTTGCTGTACATGTAATACGTACCATAACTGTCTTGCAATTTCCACCAAGAGAATTCTTCAACAACATGGTCAACTTGGAGTTACGGAAATTCACTGCAAGAAAAAGTTGTTACTTCATACCCGCTGGCCCCAACAAGATTTAATTAAAAGCATTGCAATTACATGCAAAGCATTGGATATTTGAAAGCCCTCACACACTCTAACCTATTAAAATATATTCTAATATTCCAATAAACGGTTTAAATAGATGGTTCCTTAATTAATAACCTCGTAAGTAGTTAGGGAGGCTGTTAGTTATAGAAGGAATAAACAACAACCAAGTGAACTGATCTTCTTAAACAACTATATAATACCAGTATATACTAGACACATAGAAGCCATCAACACCATTTCGTTCGATTACTTTTTACGTGTTAATAAAATTATGGATTTCCAATATCTGCCAAAAGACAAAATCCCAGTAAAGAAGACGAAACTTCACCATAATCATGATAATCACAGTTTTAAGATCAGAAACAGATTAAACAACTGCGCATATATTTTCAACAAGATGGTAAATCTTTACAAACGCTTAAAATGCTATATAGTTAACTGATATTTACATTGTGCTCGTTTTCCGGACGCCTTGTCGTGAAGACCTTTGATAATATTGCCCAGCTCAGAGAGGGATTTGTTGATGTTCTTGCTCTCGTCCAACCGCTCCCCTACTGCACCAGTTTGCTTAGATCGCTCACTGAAATTTTGTTCGGTTTTTAAAAATAAAACAAGCTTGTCTTACATACATGCATTTTTAACTTAATAGTTAACAAAACTAATCTGTCCGCCAATGAGAGTTTTACGTTTTATAATCATAAATACAATATGTAAATTTCAAATATTCTTAAATGTTACGTATTGTTCAATTGTTCTTTATTTCACTCTGGGTTTTATCCCCTACAAGAACTTTTCACTTTTCTCTTTTTATTACAAAATTTGTCTGCTGTTTGGTTTGTTTTTATTAAATCGATATATCTTACCTTCCTGCAAGATCCACCAAATTTATACACGCTTGTTTGGTAGTGTTCTCTTTCTTGTAGATCTGCTCAAAGTTGACAGTGACGATTGTATGCGCGCGGCTGCTGTGATCGTTCATCTTGGTGGCGGCAAGGGTTCGGTTTCTATTCCCGTCGTCCATACGGAGCTCGATATCCCTGTAATTTCCCACTGGGACATCTGTGAGGTGCTCCACTGCATACGAAAATTGACGATTAATAATTATTATGCCTCTATGATATTGCCTTTGTTGGTTTGTTACTTAACAACAGCTAGCAGGGCACTGTGCCCGCGCCTTTGACGGGGACGTCTCGAAAAGTCCGAAGTTTCAATGGTCCGAAAAATGGTAACATTTTCATCGGTTTTTTAAATCAATGGTTTATTGGTCCGAAGGTTCTATAGTGAACTTTCGAACCAATGAACCTTCGGACTATTGCTACGGCCCCCCTTTGACTCATATTTTGGACACCACGTGGGGGAAAAGGTAAAAGAGGCAGACGACATGTAACTTACTCTGGTACCATCATGAATGATACTGGTATGCAAACAAATGAGATCCTTTCACTTATGAGAGAGAAATATCTCTGGTCTTAACATGTTGCTGCTGTTGCTCCCATTCCCAAGTGCGAAAGATGATGATGAATAAATGTTACGGCTGAGAAATGGACGAACTTTTAAAAATCGATCGGACTTTGGTAGCGATACCGTAATTAATTGAGGAGAAAGATGAGATATTTTAATTAGTTAATAAAGTTGCCTTAGTGGAAGACTGCGCTCTCTGGAATGCTTCACTAGTTTTCAAATTAAAACTGAATAACTCGAACGGAATATCATCAAAGAGATTATGTTAATTATGTGCACCGCATTCGTGAAAATTACTTTTGCAAAATAAAATGTAATTACTGCACAAAGTTACACTCTCCGTATTTTTTTACAATTATTTACCGTAAAACCTGAAATAACCCTCTTCAACTTTCCACTTGTACTTACCGTAAAACCCCTTAGTGGCGTGTTCCCTAACTTTCAGACCCTCTTTAGCCTTTCCCTTGACCTTCTTAGTGAGAAGATCTCGTACTTGTTCGTTGTAGATCTCCAACATACTGAATTTCACCTGCAAAAATAAAGTAAATATTTAGGTTTGAAGATCATCTGCAACTACTAAATACTTTAATAAATATAAAAATGCGTATGCTACTTCCTTTGCTTATGATAAAAGTGTTTGAAATTAAATAGTTTATAAAGACATTTTATATTAACCATTGTTCCAAATACATTAATAGAGGTGGAAAAATTAAGAAAAAAATAATAATTAAGCCTTAGCAGTGAACAATTTTAACACAAGACGTAGACAAATAATTACGGAGCATTAAGACCAATACCACTGAATGAGACTCTTGACTACCTAATGATAGCCAATGAAAAGTCGAATTCTCCTTGTTACCTGGATGCTGCATGTCGACATTTAAAAATTCTTTTCGTGCACCTTTTTCTAATATTTTTCAAGAAAATGTGTACTGTATATACATACCCGATATTCCACCCCTTCTTTCGGGTTTTCTTTGATTTGTTGAAACAACATTTCACATACACGGGGAACAATTCCTGCAACGATGAAATAAAATTGAAGGACACATGATTACTAAGTACATTATTTAATTCCGGTGAAGACTTCCACTGGGTTTCCAATGCTTAGATCGATCCATCTGGATCGATTTAACTCCCTCGGAAGTATCACTAAACTGAGTAAAGATAATTACCCCCGAACAGCTTTACTAGGCGTGACAGACATTTAAAGGGATAATAACTCTTCGTATGAGATCTATATTTCACAATAAATACATTGTGAGTAACTCATAGAAATATCGTATATTCTGTTTTACCACAAAAACAGCAGTTACAGCTATTATTCTGATATCTGAGCTTGTCTTTAGACCACGTGACCTCCACTGATGGCTATACTCTGTTAAAATCTCTTAAGAGATTTTAACGAAAAACCAAACTTTTTAGAAAAAAACCAGGGACTAACTTTGAATGTAAAAATGGATTCATTAACCATTGGTAAGTATGGGAAAATTGTTTACTCCAGGAAAATTCATTTTTTGGCCGAAACGAAGAGCTATTATCCCTTTAAGCCAGTCAAGCTGACAGCAATTTAGAGAAACTCCCAAGGGAGATAGATCGATCCAAATATCTGTGGGGATGGTCCCTTTAACATACATTTTATATTAGATTGTTGACTATTTTGGCCCAGTAACATGAATAAACATTCTTTAATTTAAAAAAGAAAAAATACAGAACTCTTGTATTTGGGTGAAATAAACTAGTATCTGTCAAGGCTAACTTACCTTTATTTGCTCCGTATCCCATGATGGAGTACGACTTCCCGCTCCCAGTTTGCCCATATGCGAAAATAGAGCAGTTGTACCCCTCCCACGCATTGGTCAACATTCCACGGCCGAGATCATTGAAAACTTTCGTCTGGAGAAAGGAAAATAGACTCAGGTATCACAAACGTTAAACACATTAATTTGAAACACACTTAAGATGGCTATCAACGTGCAATGTCTCTTTTTTGTAGCTTTAAAGTGGGCTTACGTCATGCCTGCCCACCTCAAGAGACACGTGACGTTGACTGACGTCTTATGACGTCAATAGGACGTAGGATACACGTGCCGGGAAATGGGCCATTACACTGAACTCTACTCACTTGATCCGAGTATTTGGCAGTCGCTGGTGAAAAATATCCATCCTTTTCCTCCTTAAAACCGTCGTGTGACCAGTATGAATGGTCGAAGATGAATTTCTTGGGCTCCTCCCCGGGGCGAGCAGCGGGGTCTTTGATGTAGGTGGTGACCCCATCCATGTCTATAATACGCTGGGCGTTGGAGTCCTTCTCTCTTTGGCTGTGCGAAAGTCAAGGATGATTAACAAAACTCTGGAGTACGTGTACATATACCTCGTGAGTGGAGCAAAGGTACGGTCTTGCTGTACTTATGGGTTGGATTGAAAAAATGAACTGAGAGAGAGAGAGAGATGGAGAGTGGCTGTTCTTTTTACTAGACCCAGGGGGGCACTTTCCTGTGGTGTGGCCACTCTTATTGTATGTTTTTATTATAAATGTGTGTGTGTGTGTGTGTGTGTGTGTGTGTGTGAGAGAGAGAGAGAGAGAGAGAGAGAGAGAGAGGGAGAGACTCAAAAACAAAATGCAAGGATATGAAAGGGCGGACCCTCACTGCCACTTTTATGTTCTCTGTCGACATGTTTGATTATTTTTCTGAAAAAAAGGAAAATGTGTTTTAAGTTATACTTTATAATTAGTCAGAGTATCCGTAAGCATAATCCATTAATCCCATGAATGAATCTTATCCATTTAAATAGTTGGACTGCATCGGTTGTACTTTTAAATGTTTAAACCTGAACGGTGCGTCTAGTGCACGTATGTCCAGTGACTTAAAAACACAAAATATCACTTACGGGATTGCCAATAATTATACTGAAAAACTATGGCTCATATTTAGAATGTTCATTGTTAGGAGAAATGCTTTCGGCATAACGATATACCAATACGTCAGTGCTGCAGCAAGGACTTAATTGCTCTGTTACTAATGTTTGTGCATTTATACCTACTTGTCATTCTTGCTTTATGTCAATATCAGAATTTACTATCGTAAATGTGTCATGGAACGAAACTCTTCATTCTATGTATATATCAATTAATAAGAGAAAAATAGTCCAGTATTTGAAGGTATTTTGCTCACCTCAAATGTCAATCTCCTGTGTTGATTTATATCGCTAAGTCCGCCATCATTGCTTCATCAAAATTGGGTCATGGCGGTGCGTATTGCACAAGGTGGGCTATTACTAACATAGCGACGGCCAAACAAAACACGGATTATGTTTAAGGAGTCTATTGAAAGGCTGTCGCACGTGACAATAATCGATTAAAGCTGGCCTGGATTTTGCATTGGGGAGAGGACGGCAAAATTTTATGAACATAAAACAAACCGCTGTTAATAAACTTAATATTTGCGAAATGTATTGAATCATTGACAACTTTTGTTATAATCATTTGTTAGTGAAATAATTTCTTTCAAAACATAGATGATGATCATGGCGAAGCTTGGTTCGCTTTCTTTTCCCTTCCCCTAAAACAGCTAGTCTTCCATCTTCTAAGAATCGATTGCTCTATTTCAACATATCAAACATGGCCGATCACTGTGACAGGTTCTAGCTAATCACAGCAGAAGGGGGAGAAAATAACCAGACCTCACACCTCTGCGACAGGACGACCGTCCGGATGTGGACTTGTGTCATGCTTTAGGACCAACGTAGACCAGTGAAACACAGGTGAGTTAACAGTGACTGTTGGTGAACCATATCATACCGTCTTGGACAGGTGTGACAATTTATAAGCTCTTGACAACGACGACGTTAAAATGGTATAAATCCGCCTGTACTATAGTAGTATGAATTTGACTTTTTCTATGAAATATTAGTAAGGTCAAGTTGGCAATTTGCAAGTCATAAAATAAGAAGGCAGTGTACGGTTACACGGCGGTGGGATTTAGACTTGAAAGCGCGCAATAACCGTCGTCAGATTTTTTTTAATCTGCAAGTTGAAATGAACTTCATGTGTACGTATATCAACGTTAACAATGTCAGATATAACAAAATTACACTTAGACACCATTCCCACAGACACACGACCATCGGTCTACGTGGATCGACCTTACTCTGCTGGGACTCTCGCTAAGTGCAATCAGCTTAACAGAATGACTCACTTCCTCTTGTTTCCAACGTACTCGCACAATCACCACTTTTCTGTATTCGACTAAACGCCAGGGGAGGCTTATACGATAATCTATTAAACTGATTGTACTCAGCGAGAATCCCTGCAGAGTTGGGTCGATGTGTCTGTTTAATGATCCTCCGACTAAATATGGCCGACCCTACCCAAAAAAAAAAAGTCGCCCTAATCCCCTGATGGTCACACGCGCCATTAAAATGACTATATGGGAATGGAACCTAAGTTGCGTATTAATTTGTGAATATTCCTCCCTGTACTATATGTAAAAGGTTGCTATTGATACTTCGAAGTTTTACTCTGTTGAAAGTAATATTTTGAAAATGAACACTTTTTTTTCATTTTGATTTATCATTTGGATAATTAAATGTCATAGCATGCAACACCACAATAGCGCAGATTTTAAGACTCGTCAATCGGATGAAGAACAGTTAATCTTATATTTTACAGTAACTGCGATATTACATATTGTTTGTTACCCCTGGTAAAACAAATAATATATAACGCTAAACAAAATGCACTCACAAGTGATACATGACCGCTGTCCCTTTTTTTTTATGAATACTAGTTCCCTGAATAGGCCAAGAGTAAATGTGTGTCATGATAGGAGTAGGCCTTATGCCCGTTTCTGTGCCACACACACACATACAGACACTTAAAATTACACAACCCGGCCCGTAAGCTGAGAAAATAAGTTGCTGAGTTGCTGAAGTTCATGATAGGTCTTTTTATATAAAGATTTAATTTTTTTTTCAAAAATCTCGTCAAAGCTGGAGTCCACTTTCCCCTCCCTTGCCCCCCCCCCCCCCACACACACACACATAAATAAGTATACTAACCGGGGTCCAGCCTAAGGGACTGTTTATAATGAATGTTGTCGACCTAGCTAATTCCCACTAACTCCACGGGGACTCTGACTGAATGCCACCAGATTAACAGACTAACAGGCCTCCTCCTGCCGTTGAGTAGAATATAGAAAAAAATTGGACACAAGAGCAAGCAAGTGAAGACTCATTCCAAATCACTGATTCCAAATGAAACGACCGTTCTACGTAGATCGATATAACTAGGCGGGGACTCTCGCTGAATGCAGTCAGATTAACAAATTAACACGCTCCCTCTTTATTTTGAGTAAAATGCAGAAAAGCTGTTATATAGACGAGTACCGTGGAAACAAGAGGAAGCGAGTTAGTCTGTTTATCTGATAGGTACTGGTAGGTAGCTATGTACTGTGAAAGCTTCCTTCTTAGGCTTTTAAAATAAACAAACGTACATGGTGTATATATTCACATGAAGTACATGTGAATATATATACCATGTCAATGTTGCGAAAACTGTAGGCGAACCTCACTTACACTGAACACTTGTCATATGAATCGTTGCATGTTTTTATCATTTATTTTCCCCAGAGAGTGCCTTCCGTTTAACCAAGTACGCCAACGAAACACAACCATGGGAAATGCCTGCTGTTGTTGTCAACCGCGCGGCTACATCGTAGGATACGGTTACGTGGAGGCAGACGATCCCAGTTGCTTTAAATTCAAGAAGAGAAGAGCGCGCATTCGTCATAAGAGACATAAGCCAACCGTCAACTCGGCTCCCGAGGAATATTATGACTCCTCCTCGGACGACGACGGGGACTGCTGGAAAGGTGGGCGTGGCGGAGGGGGCGGTGCCAGAAGGTTACGGACCCGAGGTCGTGTAAGTCCCGGCGCCAGTAATGACAGTGATGCTGATGCACGGGCAGCAGCGCATGTGTACGAGTATCAGCGCCAGAATCAAACTGGTGTGGCTTTTATCTCTGGGTCAGTTCCCCTCTCACAAAACCACAATAACACCACAACTACAGGGTATTCCCACTTTTCACACCAGCAGTATGGGTACGGACAACCCCAACGTGGTAACGGACAGCAGCAAGGTGGTTACGGACAGCAGCAAGGTGGTTACGGACAACAGCAACGTGGCAACGGACAGCAGCAAGGTGGTTACGGACAGCAGCAAGGTGGTTACGGACAGCAACAAGGTGGTTACGGACAGCAGCAAGGTGGTTACGGACAACAGCAAGGTGGTTACGGACAACAGGGTCAACGACCCAACTCCAGCACTGGTAATAACACGAGTGAGTATGGGTGGAATCGAGAGCTTACAATGCCCTTGGACGATCGCCCTGGTAGCGGGCATTCATCCCACCAAACCACAGCAACGTATGTACAGAGATCAAGCACGCCCACGAAACTACCCCCACTTGGTGACAATGCGATAGGTGGCAGCACGCCAGCTTATCGCCAAGACCCCCTTACAATGGAGCAGGATAGTGGAGTCTCTCGGCCCGGGGGTCGATCTATAAAAGTAATAATGGCAAACACCAAGGTGAATAACCACAAGTCAAATACAGGTAGTGATCCCAACTTCAACGAAGCCGAACCTTCCAACAAAGTTGACAAATTCCAGAAAACGGCCAATATTAATATCAACGACGGCAGTGAACCGGGCATGACGCCTTTAAGTGTCAATACAGGGATCTCTACAGATATTCATGGTTCAAGCGACTTTTTGAAAAGTAAGGACAAGAAAACAAAGAAGAAGGACAAGAAGAAGGACAAGAAGAAGAAGAAAGAAGAAACGTCGTGGTTCCTTTGATTCAAGTAGCTCAAGCAGTTCGAGCTCGAGTAGCTCGGATAGCAGCCCAGAATTGAACGTATTCGGCAACGATGCCAACATGAGCCACATCAGCAAAATAAGTAACATTCCAAGAGCAGAGTCACCAAAGTTGAACAATGTCGATAGCATGGTGATGTTTTATAATAACACCGTCAACGTCCAAAACGGCGACCCGGCGACTGAAAATACCGGTGGTTCTGCATCAGTCCCGAAGCCGAACACCGCAGAAGGGTCCATGGGTATGTACGGGTCCAAGCGCTCCTCCTCTTCCTCGTCCTCCTCTTCTGATAGTGACGGAGATGAGAAACCACACCCATCTGGTTACAGATCCATGTCTGCAAAAGCAAAAGGAACCGCTCTCCCCCCACCTCTGACGTTCCCACAGCCCAATTACCGCTCTGATTTACCTGTTGTACCTCGCCCCGTAACTCCTATTAGGACAAGTTCTAGGGCGGTCTCTGCCGGAACGGAGAGACAAATGCCGTCTGCGTACAACTCGATAGGTGGCAGTGAAGTACCAAGACGCTCCCTGGGGTATAGTACCACCGAGACGTCAGACCTGTTCCCTGGTGACAGTTTCAACCCAACCCATGTCAACCCAATGATATCAACCCAAACCACCACCGCCACAAATGTAACAACGCTTATGGGAACCCAGACCACCTCTGTTGATACAAACACCAGTGAGTCACAGACAGCTCAACCTCCCGCCAAAAGCACCAGCGGTATGGAGACCCAAACTGAAGCTAAAAGAAGCAATTCCAGTGGAATGCAAACCGATGCGCAGACGACCGAATCCAATAACGATAGAGATATGTTGCTAGCAATGATAAACAGCTTGAAAGAGGTAAAATTATACATGTTTCTATAATTTCAATTCAATATTAATTTATTTTAGCTTCGACCATACCATGCATATAACATTTTCCGGATTCAGAATAGACGTAGTTTTCTTTTAAAAATTTAGAAAAAAAGGACCTTGTGGTGTATTTTCTACTAGTATGATTTATTTTTGCTGTTGAAAATTGAGGGTGATGTGTTTAACATTGAGGTGATATGTATAACTGATTTCTATCGTCAGCTAGAAATAATACTGTCGTTTCTCCATTTTACAGCAAATCGAAGAACTTAAATGGCAGCTTTTGGCAGCAACGCGTGAGAAAGAGAGAACAGATGACACCAACATCCTCATCATACTACAGACGCTATTTGCCGCGCAGAAGACGATGATGGAGAAGGAGGCCTCGCTTTCAGATAAACAGGTGGGTCGCTCGTGGCAACAAACGACTAAAAGAACTTAAAAATGCATGGTCTCTATGCTGCCCGGTTAACTTTAAAGAAAGGTTGTCAAGTCGCTGTTAACCCATGCATGTTTGTACATGAATTTTCAATTATCATCAATGTACCATGAGTTGTGCATAGACGATGTGCTTTGAGATTACAAGTTGCCACTTAAGAATATTACATCATGACTAAGGCACGGGTCATTGGATTTTGTGATCATATATATATTCATAAAAGAAGATTCATTTCACATAAATTATTTACTCATACAGGAGCAAGAGCCATTGGGAAAAGTCAATGAAATCAATGACATCCCACCAACCGTTGATATCGATGAAACACCAGAGATCCAAGAGATCAATAAGGATTATGAGACGGTAATGATTCAGGTCGATGATGATGATTGCATAAGCCTGTGATGATAGGGCATTTGTCAAAATTTCGTAGAACACATAGAGATATATATTGTGTGTTAAGTTGTTTGTGTAAACTTGGATAATTAGCTGGTAATCAACCCATCACGAAATGGACAACACCTTCAAATTAAGCTTTACAAGATGTCGACATGATGGTTTATATATGTGTGTAATTTAAAAAGGAATTATTATTTGAGACTTAATAAAATGCTTTTTGCCATTGCAGAAAACCAAACAGTGCGAAACAGAACTAATCCAAAGCTGCCTCGAAAACAAAGATCAGATTTCCGAGGACGAAATCAACCGCATCCTCTCCAAGCATGAACTCCAGGTCGATGCTCTAAAACGCCAGCAAGAATTAGCCAAACGCCAACAGTTAGAAGCCTTACAGAAGAAGTTCATCGCTCGTATAAGAAAAGATGGTCCCATTGGCAACACCGATGACGACCTTGGAGGCGAAAATACCCACAATTCCACGACTCGTGAGACAACTGTAATCGCCTCTACACAGTGCGAAGAAAGCAGCACCGTGACCGTCGAACAGCGCACTGAGATTTCCCACAGTCAGGTAGCGCCACCGCCTAATGAAGAACAAAACAGCGTGACTGATGATTTTGATTTTGATGATGATTATGAAGACGACTTCGAGTCAGACGATTCCGAAGATCCCCCTTCTCTGGCCGGAGAAGATGAGGTAAGACAAGACAGAACTCAGTGATTCGTATACTAGTTGGGGTTGTGCGTGTCTTTTAAAAGAGTTCCAATAACGAAGTGCATTTTGTAAAGACAGTCCAATTGTTTTATAGTCTTATGCTTCACAATCAATCACAGAATCTGAAATACTACAGCAAACGATAGATTTGAATTTATGTTCAGAATATAATTCTGCTTAAAACATATTATAGTGTAGGTATGTATATTGTATTCATGCTTTTATACACGTTATGAAGTGAACTAATGGCGTCATAGTATATAATACATATATGTGCCCTGCTTTGATAAGATTTGAATTTATGTTCAGAATATTATTCTGCTTTAAACATTTTATAGTACACACACACACACACACACACACACACACACACACATATATATATATACAGTCATGCATTTACATGTACATTATGTAGTGAAATAATGACGTTATAGCATGTGTACTATGCTGAAATAAAATTAAACACGTGTTCACCCTCAGGTTCCTACCGATGGATCTGTCCCCGAGGGTCTAACCAAGGACATCATGAAGCACATGGACGAGCTGTCGCCGGAGGTCCTGAGGGGACTGATGGATCTACACCGACGACAACAGGCGCGTGTGCAAAACACCAATGATGCCTCCAAGGCGAAGCAGGGTGCGTCTCTTTGGGAGAAGCTTCAAGCCAGGAGAAAGAAAGCCATAGAGTTGGTGAGGATTTGACTTTTATGTTTATTCTTTATTTGTGTTGCACAGAAGAGCGTTAATTCTTTACTTCTCTCTAGTCCCTTTATAAATCGGTTTTCATTCTCCTTTACTATTTGTTTTCCGTAGATGAACCGCAGTGAGTCAATCAAGCAAGAATACAGAGACGTCAAAGACGTGAAGAATATCGGGACCTACTTTGGGGAAGAAATGATAGGCAGTCAAACCGAAACCAAGGTATGTGTGTATCCTAATTACACTATTATTATCAAATTTCGAGCTTTTACTCTTACGTTAAATCTTTTTTAAAGCGCCTCAATTTTTTAATAAAAATGTTGTAAAAATAATTTGGGTATAGCTTTTGTAACGTTTTTTAGGTATCTTTCTCTCTGCCTGTATTTAATCCAGATGATCCGATAATGTATGATTCACGATTTGCAAATACATGAAAATGTCGTGGAATCTAGTAGGTTTAGGGCTCAGGGCAAAACCATAACATTGAGCAGATTTAATTGAAATTGGGGAATCAAATTAGTGCGCTACAGGCTATTAAACTAAAGCATGAGCCTCAATAACAATGGCGACTCCTTTCACTCAGGCTATACAAGCCAACGATGAGAAACTCGTCCAGAGCATCAAGTCAATACAAACCACCCAGGACGAGCAAGCTCTGAAGGTTATGATAAGTCAGCACCTTGTCTCCAGAAACACCATGGAGATAGAGAGACTCAACTATCTGGATCTGATGGCGGTGTCGTTGAAGGACTCGAGCACGAGTACAAGTAGCCATGTTGAGGTCACAACTCAGCTGGCCAATGATGAAACTTTAAAGAAGGTGAGAAGCAAACCGCTACACCTTAGCGTATATAATGTTCATCAAATGGTAACATGAGCTGTAAGATATTTATTTATACTTAATTGATACTTTGATCGGCGCTACAGTTAGTCAAATCAACAAACTACAGACTTTCTCCTGTTTTAAGGCGTTAACCAGAAAATAATATATATTGACCGGTACAGTGTATATAAATGAACCAAGAACATAATGATTTAAAATATTTATTTGCAATATGTTGCAGCCGTGGTTAACTTTGCAGTTACATACTCTCTCAATTTCGCACATTTCTGAAAACAAAAGCGTTGAGAACTTTGCGCATATGAATCACCCTATCGACAAAAAACGCCATCTTTCCAGGACCTTAAAAAGTTGGAGACAGAATTTTACACTGACATCACCTCCTTGGGTTTCTACCTGGACGAGGAGGAGCTGAGGGCGCTGCTGAAAAAGTACGAGGAAGACCAAAGAAAAATGATCTCCAGGAACGCCATGCAGAAAATTCGAAGCGACGAAGACCTGAGAAGGAAGTTGGAGGAGCGTCGATTGCGCAGGATACAGGTGAGTAGTAAATAAATAAATACTCGCCTGAAGAGTCCTTTAACATTATTCTGGAACAAAATTCAACCTTGTCGGGTTCATGCCTAAATGACGTGTACTGAAACGCTCGTCAATTTACCAGATAGCAGTCTTCAGCCCAATCGTGGGCAATTGAACAAAGTTAATCTGTTCAATACTTAGTTGTCTGAAAGGTGGTGGGGAAAAGTGGTTTTGATACACAGCCGGTATAACAGGAATGTTGGTTCAAGGAAGTCCGGGGGACCACATTGTTAGTAGAGGTTATGGATAGCCCGAGCTATCGGGGTAAGTGTCACTTGTATAAAAACTGTAGTCATGGTTAACAGACTACAGTTTCTTTGCGGACTATACCATTTCTGTCACACCGGTTCTTTGGTTGTTGTAACTTGATTCATTTGTAAACGAAGGTTTTTGTTTTTCGGTTTTAAAAAATGAAAAAAATCGAATATAATGCTTTAGTTCTTTAAGAAGACTCACAAAGAACTTTTTTTACTGATGGAATCATATATTTTGGTTGCGTTCTGCCTTCTCTCCCAGCACTAATTTTCCTACTTTTTCTCACTCAAAGCACGTAGTGGACTCCGTGCACAGTGTAAGTGCTTGTTATATAGTTGTTGGTAACATTGGCTATTGACGCAGTGTATACATGTATTATTGTTAAATGTTCCTCTAACCTTTCCTGTAGCTTTGCCTGTTGCCTGTTGAATTCATTTTGTATTGCCTCTGTGGAAACTTGGCCTCTACAAGTACAGCAGCCAGTGTGTCTGGAGAAAGACATTTTTGTTAACAAAGATAACAGTTAATTGTTATTATTCCATCCAATCATTCTGGTATTAAAATGTGTGTTGTAATCTGTTTTCCTTTGTGACCAGTGCTCTAATTAATTCCTAAAAAATCAAATATATTATACACGGTATGTACAAATCCGCTTTTAGACGACTTGTCCATATATATGCGTTGCACTTTTCTGAATTATGGTGAACTGTGACGTAAAATGTTCCATATGTTACGCTTACTGTGTAATCGTGTGCCCCGGTCTTGTACTGGCATTTCTGCTTTTCATGTAGCTTAGCCACATAGATTGTACCAGTGCTGCTTATACCTTGACTTCAATTCCCCCTGCGTAATTTAACTGTCCATTTAACATGTTTAGTAGATTTCATCTGTATCTTACAAAAGTCACAGACGAGCCTTAAACTGTCAACACGTGACACGTGCCAAGCTCGTTCAGTCAACTCTCAAAAAGTCTGCCATTCACCACCGATACTATAACCAATTAACATTTTAAATCAAGACGGGTTTAACCTTGACCCACTGATGCCAAAAATGGGATTCAAACCCAGCCATTGAAAAGCAATTAAGCCTGCATTAAAGTAATCTCTATGCTTGACACTGCATTCAAAATCTACTATCAGGGAGATTGTGTCACAAGGGACTTAAAGCTCTGTCATAATTTCAACGTCCACTTGAATTGAAATTCTCCCAGTTCGGCTGTAAGTACCCCAGTTGAAAAATAGATTTACGTTGATGGTATTGAAGTGATTATTATTTTTATTGCCATATGTTTCTTTACAGTCTGATTTAGGGCTGGAGGAAAGCCAAATCACTACCGGAGAGCAAGAGAACGAAACCAAATCAACAGAAGTGCCGCTACTTCCGGTTGAGACCATGAATTCAGGCGTATCGCCGGTAAGTACGGTTCGACCTTCATTTAATATTGTAGTAACTATGTGGACTACTTTTTGTTCTTGAGGGAGCATATAACAAAAGTACATATAAATGTATTTTGATGCCTACTGGTACAGTTGTGATTTTAATTGTGTCCAAGTTTCTCTCACACTTTAGTGTTAACAGTCTAATTTAACTAAAAATACTACAAAATGATAGTAGATGGAATCAAAGATTTTTAAACGAAGCAAATATTCGTGTATTTCAATCGTTAAGGAGGTGGCAAAGATGGACGAAAGCTTCTACATTGAGCTAAAGCGAAGGAAGGAGGAAGAGAACTTGACGGAAGAGATGCTACAAGAGATGCTGGCTGAACACATGCGTAATGTTGAGAGAATGCAGAGAAACACGGACGCTCAGAGAATGAGGTAGATAATGAGTAAAAATTTTCCCGATAGGAATTCGTCGTGAAGGAGGTTGTTTTTGTTACTCTCGACCAACAGAGCTTCCTCGTCTCTTTTTATTGAAGTGGAATAGCCCCAAGTCAAGATTATAATCAATAAAACAGATATGAAAAACATTTTTTCCATAAAATTCGTCATCAAATAAATGTACCAGTAGCCATTCAATTTCGATCCTATATTCTGTCTACAATGCTTATATTATCGAGATCTTCTACCTGACAAAATTGTCCTTTCCAGACAACATATGTCCACACAAGATAGACTAGCAGAACGCCGCCGTCTGAAAAAGGAGCAAGAGCAATACAAGTTGGACCAGAAAATGGCGCGCAAACGACTAGTGGAAGAGGAAAGAAAATTGCAGGAAATGGTACGAAACATTGTGTCTAAGATGTCTAAATGTTCCTATGCGCTCAGTATTTATAATTTGTACATTTTCAAATATTCATATTTAAAGTAGAAAAAATACACACTGAAAATTTGTTCCGAGATCTTTCAACCCTACCTCTTCAGGGTTTATTTGGTTATGGATGTGATTATGACATCATAGTTGTGAATTGTCACGTCATAGATGTGACGTCACAATCACATTTGGATAAATAATAAAATAGATCGTTGAATAGACGTGTATAGCATTATATCACATTCAATTTTGACTCAAATACTTTAACAATTTATATATGGCTTAACTGTTTCCTATTTAAACTCTTGTAGAATCGAGCCAACTTAGAAGAGATCGCAAACCGCCTGATCTACAACTGCAAGGAGAACACGAAGGCAGTGAGGGCGCTGTGGGCGGGGGAGGTGTCCCGAACCAAGGGCAAGGTCGGCGAGCTTACGACGGAAAACGTGAAGAAGAAAAGGAAGAAAAAGGTACGACGAAAAAAGGGGGCGTCAGCGACTTGTTTAAGTATTGGTATTTAAGAAAAAGTGGTATTTAATTTCGTTACTGAAGCACTTTTTGTTCAAAGTTACTAGTTTGAATAATCCCCGCATTAATCTTATTTGTATCAGAATCAATTAAAGTTCCTTTTCTGAAATATTCTTGCTTCCTTCTCTTCGTAATTTCTTACATACTCGATAATTTATCTGTTATCTATATCTATATTTATAATCACGTATTATGTAATTTGCTTTTTTTTTCAGAAAAAGGACACTGGTGGAGAAAACAGCAGGCCCGAAACTGCACCTTTATCCGTATTATGAAACGTCCATCCAACCAACCGCCTGTTACGTACAAAGTCGCTAAACTTTTACGAGAGATTCCTTGTGTGTGTGTCCATGCTGTAAAAAAGATGCTGTGTTGCCAAATAGAATTCACATGTTTGTCGTGTACATCAGGCGGTATAGGATATATGAAATCTCCATTTCAAATGAATACCTATCAATACATTTTGCTGACTCTTGATATTTGTGAAGTATTATGACTGTGATTTGACTTGTTTACACAGTATACAGGATTTATCTTTTTTTTTAACCAACTGAACTTGGCTGTATTTTTCACAGTCTTTATACGGTATGACCTTTAGCAACTCATAGTATACATAGTATTCAGGATCAGAATAAGTAACACTTCCTTTTCTGGAACATTTACATTGTATACAGGATTGATCTTTTTTTAAACCAACAGAACTCGGATGTATTTTTAACAGTCTTTACACGATATGACCTTAATCAACTCAAAGCTTATCACTTTGTAAATCACGCACATTTTGTATTTCGTTTCCAACTTTATACGTGGAGAACAGTTGCATTTTATATACATATTCATTGTTGCGGTATATTTTCAATAAACTGGCTTTACGGTGTATCTTTTTCCATCACTCTACAAGCAGCAATCAGAAGTAACAAGGCACTCTTGAGGACTCCATTACATTTAATTACATTAAATTACGTTATATTATATTACATTACATAGCATTTCAAAAATGAAATGTTCAAATTGACCCATTTGCCATGTCAATACTTTATATATATATTACATTTTCTGTATACATATCCGATTCCTTAAACTGGAACTCAAATTCCCAAACAACACTGGCCATTTCCATAAGTTTGCATTATTTTGCCAATTATTCAGACAGTATTCTGGCAAGGAAAATCCATCTTTATATTTACCGCACTGGTATCAGAGCAAGACATGCATACATTTCTACTGTGTCCTCTCCAGGGAGGCGACAGCGTTAACGTGCACTAAGGGCCAAAAAATGACCATTTTTAACCACGCTGAGACGCATATGTGTATAAGAACTGAACTTAACACTTATTACTTTACTCTGAAATGGTATTGTTTTCACTGGACACCGATACTTCTTGGCAAAAAAAAAAAATAAATAAATAAATAAATAAAAATAAAAAAGGCTCAGCCATCTTGTTAGTTAATGAGGTAATCTCCCGTCCACGAGGATCTCGAACTTTGCGACTCCCGCCAACCAGAGAGGATCTAAGTTATGCTCTATATTTTTAGCCCACGCTTTACACACAATACGTAGAAGAACGTTATTTGTGGGGCGCTCAAAGTGGACGGCGACGAGCGGTGAACGATACCCAAGCTGGTTGAGATAAGGGAAGTAATAATTGGGGAATCCTTCTTCCGGATAATATGCTATTGGTCCCATGTTTTCCTTATCTGTGTCCGTCTGGAATATACGTGAGAAACAGATTAATTTTATTGAGCCTATATATGAAATGCCCAATATATAAAATGTAAGATAGGAGATGTTTGTACATTACATTCATATCTCTTTGAGATTACCAATAAAACCCATCCTTGAGAAGTGGTAACAGAAGTGTTTATTTAACTTATCTGAGTTTTAAAAAAATAGATATGAAACCACGCGACTTACATCTCCTTCACACGTGACCCCCACGTGATCTGGCCTCCATCTGTCTCCTAGTTCCGGTGGCCGCGTGTTGTTGTCGTAAGGTTCAGGTTCCCAGCCATACAACTGTTATCGGATACAGATCGGTTAAATTTGAGGCAAATGCATTTTTTTTTTCAATTAAGAATTAAGGTTAAATCAATTGAACTCAATATTTTGCGTAAAAAGACTGCGTAGCTGCATGCAATACAAAATTAGAAAATGTAAAAATGTAATATTACTCGTAGAAAACACATATGTTGCCTGCCTATTTTTCTGTTTCTTTTTCATAAAATAATTTAATTAATTAATAAACGAAAGATAAAAATAAATAAATACAATGTAAACACGATGCCTGATATATGCCAAAATATGAAATGTGAGTGATTATAGTATTTCAAGCGAATTTTACCTTATTTATGATAGGTATAAATAGTATTCCGGTTAAACGCTTGTTTACTTCCGGAATTAATTAATTTAAACATTACCTTATTTAATTTTAAAATCACACATGGCTCTCCGTCATTATATCCGTACTCTTCCTTCCATATACAGGGTCCCAGAAGATCCAAATTGAAAGTACAGACTTTCTCTCGGGGTCTGACACCGTAACCACACTGGATATAGTTTCGGCCGTCCTGGTTTTGGTTCTCGTATTCTGAAAATGTCATGTTATTTCAAAGTTAGTTTTACTATGTTAATCGTGATTGAGTTCACTTTTTCACAAAAGGAAATGATTGAAAGAATCCATTTAAAATGTTATTAAATACCGGGACTGACGAATGTTGCTTTTCAAACCTAAAAGAAATCTAAAATGGCATTTCTTTACCTTACGGAGGTACACAGTAAAATTTATTTTTCATTTTATCACCCCATTCATAATTCATACATACTGTTATTCCTACAATAATGATTATTAAACTTTATAAGACGTATCTAAATCTATTCACCAGAAAATGACATGTTGAACAAAATAACCATTCTTAAGTTAACTGACTTACGTATCAGATGTGCCCGGATGTTGGCAATTATAGGTGCAAAAGACTGCTTATCTCCTTGAACGAAGTAGATCATTGTTGACTTGGCCCAAGGCATTGGGCGAAAACTCAATCCTGAAAAAATGCGTTATTATTTCACTGTCAACGCACATCCGATTATTTCAATAGTAACCTCTTGACAGAATGGCGTTGCTGTGAACAACTTATTGCTTCATTAAACGCACACTATTGGAAATGTGTGCTTTTCACGTGTTTATACGAAAGCTAATAGAACAGATTCCAAATACAAATTTTAATCGGCTGTCGTAAGACTGAATCAAACTCTCTCAAATTTTAATCGGCTGTCGTAAGACTGCATACAGACTCTCTCTCTCTCTCTCTCACACACACACACACACACACAAACACACACACACACACAGACACTTTACAGCGCAATTGTGCCTCATTAAGTTAGTCACCCGTTGCGTTTTTCAGCTGTGTTTTGGACCCGAATCGCCTTAAGTCTTAAATATTTCAATAGAATTTCAACTCACCGGGATTATTTCCTATTGCTCCAGCATTGCCATAGACCATGGGCGATCTCTTGTCTATATAATAGACAAATGTCACTGCCAAGCACGCCCCGAAGAAGACAAGTATACTTGTATAGAATACTGTGTAGAAGATTGCGCATAACGCTGTAAAGATGCAGAAAAACTTTTTTGACATTTTGACGATTGTGTGTTTTCAATCTGAATGAATTAAAAATAAAGTCACTGTATAGAAGCACTTGAAATATTACCAACCATACTCTGTTCATATATATATATATATATATATATATATATATATATATATATATATATACTGGTGAAGTGGCCATTGCGAGCTGGAAGCTTTCTGGAACTAGCCTTTACCGAGTCGGTGATATCACGTGTTTCTAAAAATTCACATCTTACACAGCCAGCTCCCCGCCTCACCACAACCTAAAATATGGCCGACCCACTCAGAAGCTTGTCGCATAATCCCCTAATACACTCTGAATAGATTTCCCGCGGTTAGCTTTCAAGTGGGTCGGCCATATTTGATCCGCCGATTTGTTAGTCCTCGGATGAACTTTGGTTGGGAATGCAGCCATACATGTAGGTAACCGCGGTTACTTATCCCCACAGTCGCCATGACTCTGCATGCTTTTTCCAGTTATTTCTGCAACTCTGGGTGACTAATGAAAGAGAAGCAAAAAATGTATAAAATCTTGGGGAGGGATAATTATTAGCCTATGTTTTTAACATATTTGAAGGGTGCCTCTACTAAAGTTATCATTTAATTAGACTATTCCCTCATTCAGAACAGTGGACTAACTAGTCCGAGGGTCAAATATGGCGGACCTACTTGAATACTTCCCCACGGGGAATCTATTCAGTGTCTATTAGCAAATTAGACGGCAAGCTTTGTAGCAGGTCGCCATTTTTTACCCTCGGACTAATTAGTCAGTGGTTCTGAATGCCGCCTATATGAATACCCTTTTCGGAGACAGTAACGCATGTTATAGATATCTACATTAAAGTAAAAATAACAATGGTCCGTATCGTGTCTTCTCCCTTTTTACGCCATGACTTGCTCACGTAGGTACAATATACCGATCTGTTCACAACCAAGGTGATCTGCAGACTAACTGATCCTTGGATCAAATATGGCAGACCCACTTGAAAGCTTGCCCCGTTATCCCCGCGGGGAATCCATTAGGTAAGCTTTCAAGTGGGTCGGCCATATTTAATCCACGGTTCTGTTAGCCTGCGGATCAACTTTTTTCGTGAATGGGGCCTATGGCAACTTATGCGATGCACACAAATACGTGATGACTTTATCTGTTCTTAATATTAAATCACCTGAGTAAATAAAGAAAACAAACAAATAGTCGGAAACTTTATGAGAAACGAGAATTTATCATCTGGATGATTAGATAAATATGAATGAAGTATATAGAGCGTTTATATTCAGTGTACACATACACTGGATTTGGTCCAAGCGTATCTTTCATGCCTATCCTTTATTATGTGAGATGTTTATACTTAAGTTACCCTCTCATTCAAGATTACGTTGTATCATGGTATACGTTGCGTATATTACTGTGTCTGCTACTCATATTTTGAATAATCTACAATACCTACATTATACGTAAAATATGACAAGGCACGACATGGGCAGATTTATCAAATTGAAAAAACATGAACAACAAAACCACTGTAGTGTTCATTCGGTTGAATATAAAGGGGGTGAAAAGCATTTCACGCATCATATGCAACATCAACGAGTTTTTTTAACGTTTAAATTAAGGAAGTGCACGGAAAAGAATTGATCAAACAAAATCACGCCGAGATCTTGGGGACATTTTGGATGTCACATTTAGCGAGGAAGCCAGCAAAACATGTTGAGTAATCTCAGGCTAGATAAGAGCTGGAAGACACCAATTTCATACGTAATAATGATCGATTTTCCACAACTTATACAGATAGTTTATTCCATGTCGATGAGTAGTTGTGGCATGCCTATGGACTTATACTGATAATTTATTCCATGAAATAAGTACGCGCAGTGTTCAGTTTAGAAATGCCCAATATTGATATAAACAATAAACTTCCAGGCACTGGCAACTGAACGATGGTTCAAAAGTTGTTGTTGAAGGGTTTGTGCGATTTTATATGTTAGAATGACGTAACACGCAGCGTCTTAATCGCCAACTGGAAATTAATCTTATCAGAAGAACGCACACACTACTGGCAGGATGGAGTACGGAATGAAGGGCCATTCAGAATAGATAATCCGAGTACAAACTGATCCGCCGACTACATATGGCCGACTCCATTTAAGAAGCGATACGGCTGATCCCATGATGGTTTCCTCGCCTCCACACGCGCCATCGCTGCAGGGGCCTAGAAATTAAACCTCGGAGCCGATATTAAATCCGTTTAATGGCACTTGTGGAGGCGGGGAGACCATCGGGAATCAGCGTCATTGCTTTTGAAGTGTGGTCGGCCATATTTAGTTGGCGAATCATGATCAGTTAGTACTCAGATCATCCATTCTGAATCGCCCCTGAGAGAGAGAGAGAGAGAGAGAGAGAGAGAGAGAAGGAGAGAGAGAGAGAACGCATTCCAATTAGCCCCATCCCGACCTATAGCCCCGACACCCTCACCCACACCACTCAAAAAGTAAAAAAGTGTACTATTCCACGTGTATATTGCATTTTGACCGTGGCATATACCTTGTGGAAGAATTTTAATGTATGGGTGCGCTTAAATCACCATGGTAACAATCACATGACTTCACTTCTTGCCAGGCATATGTCTAAATTTAAACGTATTTTTAATGATTTTAAAGGTATTTATGGGTTACCTAAGCGGTTACATTTACGTGAAAAGGTCAGATCAATTCTTGCGATATAATGAGGGAGCGCGAACAGACAGTCAGATGTCATAACCCGACCAACACGCCCAAGCGGGGCCAATATGGGTAACCGTTTGGCTGGTTTGGCTTCTTTTCTGGGCACCACACGGCCCCTATATTGGTTCTTTATAGTTCTATATCAAATTGAAAAAAAAAAGATATTCGGGCAATACCACAGGAACCTATGGTAGAGTCGCAGGCGGAAGATGATGTTTGAGCAAGGCCTACAATACATGGTGCCATGTTATGTTACCGCCTGTAAAATTCATTTAGCCACTGGTCGAAGGAAAAATAAGACAACTCTGAAGGAACGATCGGAGAAGGAAAAGGGATAATATTTTATAAGGATGAAAATATATTCTAAAAATCTGTTGGGGGAATTACCCCCTGCTCCGAGCGCGGAGTATTAAATGGCTCCATCCTGTTTGCCCCATGCAGGCCTCAATGTTGAACACTGGTCAATTAAAAAACATTTAAATGCGGCGAAGACAAACCTTTTATTTAAAGCTGTAAAGCAAGTTATAGAATATTTTTTCACTCTCAACATAAGGTAGATATCGGAGGTTCTATTTTATAGAGAGAATCCAGAGGGAAATATCCAAGAGAAAATGTTCCAGAGAGAGCCTTGCATGCTACCAGAAGAGTGTGCCTTCATTAAATTCACTCAGATTGGTAAGATACATATTTGTGCCTGATATAAGCCTTCCTTTTGCGCCCATCAAAAGGCAGCAGCAGTATATCATATACATATTTCAAATGTTTAACATAACACAAAATATAATCTCACCCTGACATCTGTGCTATCATAGTATTACTTTTAGTATACATTTTAACAAGCATACGTACAGGACAAAGAAAATGTACATTTGAAATTATTTTCTACTTCCCTTTTTTTAACGCGATGAAAAATATATACTGTGTCCTTACCCCAATGTGATGGCGTCTTTCCAAGAAATTTTCGGGTTTTAGGGTCCCATACTTCATTTTTGATCCTGGAGGCTTTAGCTGCCAGGCCTCTTTTCACAGCAGAATGTCCAGTTTGTCCGCTCTGGTAGGGGTGAACCGTTCCTATAAACCGCCTCTCCGTTACCATTATGCCAAGAGCTAAATTACCTCCACGAAGGAAAAGGCCGTTTAAGAACACGTTTACGAAGAATTTGATCTGCGTCAGTCGCAACTATGCGAACTCAAACCTACTCAAAACTTCCGCATGCTTTGTAAGGTGAATACCTTTAGAAATAAAAAACCCTAAAGTGCTGACAAATAATGCAATATTGGTTATCCTTTTCAACGCGGTGATCTATAGTGTTACTTGTACAGAAATAAGTTCGTCGTTATCTCCAAGAGTAAACCTTAAGACTAGGTCGTTGTGTCTTCGTGTCACCTTACCATTGTGCACGAGTCAAATTACCTCCAATAACGAAAGGGCCGTGAAAAAACAGCTTTTTGAACAACTTGACCTGCGGCACTTGCAGCTATGCGATCACAAACCGATTCAAAACTTCCTTATGTTTTGTAAGGTAAACAGCTTCAGAAAAAAATAAATACCTAAAGCACTCGCACGTTGCACAATATTGATGATCCTCTTAAACGCAATGATCTTTAGTGCTACTTGTTCAGAATTAAGGATGCGTACAGGGGGTGCCGGGAACATGGATATCTTCTTAACCGATCAAGACACAACAATATGTTGCGTATCAATAAAAAGGCTAATTTCAACAACTATTCATTCAATATCATTATTTTATTACGTGATGGTTACTCAAGGAGATATAAGGCTTAACAGGTTTTCTCAAAGAAATATTTAGACCAACGTCAAAACTAATTGGAACCTTTAACTTATGAAAGATTGAATTTATTCGTTTTATAGCATGTTCCTGGGATTTCATAATAAAAGCTCTGTTTTCAAAGTGCCAGTGTTTCAGTCATGGTAGAGGATATCGTTGAAGTGGTAATTTTTATGAATTAGATATCTTTATTAATTAAATTCATATCAGGAATTTAAGACACGTCTGTCGATGCCTACGGGGGCAAACGAACAATGCTGTTTACACGCGTGTACGTGTGGCGGACTTTAAGTTTCTAAGGTATAAAATATGGCTAAGAAACCATTACTAAAAAATGATGATATGAAATGAACAGCTGCTGAAATAAGCGTTTTATTGCCATACAACTTGTTGGTATATCAGTTAAGAAGATGGCTATTTTTCTGGAACCCCCTATACGCGACCTGAAGTTCGACGTTGTCTCAACTGTGTCTTCGTGTCACACTACATATCAATTATCTCTGTTGTTACCGTAGACTGAAACTTACTATATTAGGTAACGTTTGATGCCTGCACTGTATCAGCTTAAACAGAGCGCCCGATGGGGGATTCCCGTTTCCCGATGTCTGTTATATTTGAATATATTGTGATCGCTCCTTTACACAAATCCAAGAGTATATTTTGCTGATGAAGGTTTTAATGGAATTTTAATAATAAAAATATACAGCCTGACCTAGCCTTCTTCCGTGACTATAATTTCAACTGAACTACATTATGTGCATGTAGACTCTGTTGTTTTTGGAGAACGATAAAATATTCTCGAGATTTCCTTCGGAAAAAATGTGTCGTAGCAAAAAAAAAAAAAAAAAAAAGTGCCATTTCAAGATTGGAAAGTTAAGCAATTCCACTTCATGTCGATTGTCTCGACGGAGACCACCAATCATCACATCATTAAATATCGAAATACTGTTATCAAACTTAAAAAGCATTTTAATCAAGCCATTGATAATTGCTTTAACATTAATATCCACTGAAACCTTGTAACGGACACTTTGGTACGCACGTGACCATCTCTTTATCTTTAATTTTTGCTGTTACGCGAGGTAGTAAATAAACTCTGTTATAATCCTTCATAACTACTTCCTAGTTGGTTCCCGCGCCGCTCTCTTTTCATTTCTATTTCTACATCATTCAATCTATAGCGGCCTTATCTCTGTTTACATTACCCGCTGTTGCATAAATATCATAAGAGCATGTCAATCAACTCAGTTACTCTACAAAACACTCATCGCTCCTCACGCACTTGTGGCTGTAAATAACAAACATTACACACAATTGGGGCCATCAACATCATGTTGCTGAAACTTACTGAAAATCACTTGACTCGAATATTAAAAGAAATTTGAGGTTCACCTAAGGTATAAACTTGAAAAATATAAAAATGCGCTTATTGTGTCTTCAAGGAATGCGTTCTTTTTTTAGCAAAATTAATTATCTCTATACTCTTACCCATTGTCCGAAAAGGAATCTCGATTTAAAAAAATAACATAAACACCTAAAAAACCTCCATTTGTAGACCCTAAAATATGGTGACATTGTTTCTAATCCCTCCCCAGCAAGACTGTGCTAATCGCGTGAGCAATTGTCATCCGTACGAAGCCAACTTTGCGAAGATGAATTTGTACTTATCTTATAGTACTACAGGTGACAATAACGACGACCTAGAGCTTTCAAGCATTTATTCACTAACTGACTTTTCATACAAATTCGCACGTATTTATAATTTATTTCTCCGTACTGATCATGTATTTACTTGTTTTTTTTCCCATTGTCTTTGCGTGATTACAAGGAATTTTTCATTCTCATGTCGCATTCCTCCATTCAACATTTCCTTATTAGGTAATTTCTAAGAGACTTGTTTTCAATTAAAAGTATTTAAAGTATTATTTGAATTACTCATGCTTGGACTATATCTTTATTTGGTTTGTTTGTGTTTAATACGTGGCAGAAACTTGCAAATCGATTGAGAAATTAATCAATCATGAAATGAAATTAACCACGAAAACAATTTTTACACTTGTTGACTCTTAATGAAATTTAACTTACACTCAATAACTCCTTATCATTTTAATCATTTGATTCTTCTTAAATAATCACCAGCAATTAATGAAAGTGTAAGCAATTAACTTAACAACACTATAAAACGACGGTTTTTCTTTGTTTTATCACTTTCTGAAGTACAAGCATGCGTCTTCAACTGAATGAGATAAAAACTATCAAAAGTGTGATATCTTTGGTAAACGTCACATCGATATGACACCAGTGCATGTATGTCACGCTT